GTGCTGACCTCTCTGGGGTTTTTGGGTCCATTTTTTGGGGATTTGGGGTTTTTGGGGCCGTTCTTTTGGGATTTGGGGTTTTTGGGTCCGTTTTTTGGGGATTTGGGAATTCCGTGTCCGGTTTTTTGGGGATTTGGGAATTCTGTGTCCGGTGCTGACCTCTCCGGGGTTTTTGGGTCCATTTTTTTGGGGATTTGGGAATTCCGTGTCCGTTTTCTTGGGATTTGGGAATTCCGTGCCCGGTGCTGACCTCTCCGGGGTTTTTGGGTCCGTTTTTTGGGGATTTGGGAATTCCGTGTCCGGTTTTTTGGGATTTGGGAATTCCGTGTCCGTTTCTCGGGATTTGGGAATTCCGTGTCCGGTGCTGACCTCTCCGGGGTTTTTGGGTCCATTTTTCGGGATTGGGAATTCCGTGCCCGGTGCTGACCTCTCCGGGGTTTTTGGGGCCATTTTCTCGGGATTGGGAATTCCGTGCCCGGTGCTGACCTCTCCGGTTCCAGGTGCCCCCGGGGCTGCTCCTGCAGCCGAAGCCGCCCCCGTCCAGCCCGGCGCCGTTCCCGGCTCCGCCCGCGCCCGGCCTGGTGCCGGCGGCTCCGGGAACGCCCGGCCCGGCCCTGGCGCCCGCCGGCGCCGCCTCAGGTGCGTGCGGGGCGCCGCGATCCCCGAATCCCCAATCCCGAATCCCGAAATCCCCAATCCCCAAATCCCAAATCCCGAAATCCTGAAATCCCCAATCCCTAAATCCCCAAATCCCCAAATCCCCAATCCCCAAATACCAAATCCCCAATCCCCGAATTCCGAAATCCCCGAATCCCCAATCCCTAAATCCCAAAATTCCGATATCCCGAAATCCTGAAATCCCCAATCCCTAAATCCCCAAATCCTGAAATCCCCAAATCCTGAAATCCCCAATCCCCAAATCCCCAAATCCCCAATCCCGAAATCCCAAAATCCCCAAATCCCGAATCCCCAAATCCCCAATCCCCGAATCCCGAAATCCCCAATCCCCAATCCCCAAATCCCAAAATCCCGAATCCCAAATCCCTAAATCCCTAAATCCCCAATCCCCGAATCCCGAAATCCCCAAATCCCCAATCCCCAAATACCGAATCCCGAAATTCCCAAATCCCAAAATCCCCAAATCCCCAATCCCCGAATCCCTAAATCCCCAAATCCCCAATCCCCAAATCCCGAAATTCCGATATCCTGAAATCCTGAAATCCCCAATCCCTAAATCCCCAAATCCCCAATCCCCAAATCCCGAAATTCCGATATCCCGAAATCCTGAAATCCCCAAATCCCCAAATCCCAAATCCCTAAATCCTGAAATCCTGAATCCCTAAATCCTGAAATCCCGAAATCCCGAAATCCCTGCACTGCCGTTCCCAATTTCCCGGTGCCGTTCCCAATTTCCCGGTGCCATTCCTGGTTTCCCATCCCGGTTTCCCATCCCAATTTCCCGGTTTCCCATCCCAGTTTCCCATTCCCAATTTCCCGGTGCCATTCCC